TATTTTTAGTAGAGACGGGGTTTCACAGTGTTAGCCAGGATGGTCGCGATCTCTTGACCTCGTGATCTGCCCACCTCGGCCTCCCAAAGTGCTGGGATTACAGGCGTGAGCCACCATGCCCGGCTCAGAAGGGGACAATTCTAAAGCGAACTAACACATTCTCAAGGGAATTATAGGCTAGGATAAAAGCTACGAAGCAAATAAACCAGGTGATGCATTGGAGAGTGGCTGGTTGTTGGCTGGGAGGTGGGAGAGGGCCTTTATGAAGAGGTTTTATTTGAACTGAGACAGAACTGAGAACGAGCTAGCCAGGTGAGTGTGAGGTGAGGTTCCAGACAGAGGGAACTGCAAGCACAAAGGATCTTGATTTGTTTGAAGTCCCAGGGAAGGCTGATGGGCCAGCAGGTAGTGAGAGAGGTAGAGAGAGTGCCATGAGATGAAGCTGGAGATCTGTAGCAGGGGTGGGAAATTGCTGGAAAAGCTGTTTAAGCACTTTGAGCAGGAGAAAAATGGATTGAATTGATTTACCTATTTTTTGATGTTGATGTTAATATATTTGCATAATTGGCTATGTAAATATTCAATGTTGGCTGGGCACGGTGACTTACACCTGTAATCCCAGGATTACTTTGGGAGGCCAAGGCAGGTGGATCACTTGAGGTCAGGAGTTCGAGACCAGCCTAGCCAACATGGTGAAACCCTGTCTCTACTGAAAATACAAAAACTAGCCAGGCATGGTGGCGTCTGCCTATAATCCCAGCTACTCGGGAGGCTGAGGCGGGAGAATCGCTTGAAGCCAGGAGGCAGAGGTTGCAATGACCTGCTATCATGCCACTGCACTCCAGCCTGGGCAACACAGTGAGACTCCATCTCAAAAAAAAAAAAAATTCAATGTTCAATGCTATAGTATGACTACATTTCATTTGTTCTATAAGGTTGTTTTGGGCTCGAGTTGGTAAGTTGGTTTGTTTTACAGGGTTATTTTTCACTGGGTTGATTCATTTTTTGTTATCATTTGCTAATTTTCTTTTTTTTTCTTTTTTTTTTTTTGGAATGAAGTTTTGCTCTTGTTGCCAGGCTGGAGCACAGTGGTGTGATCTTGGCTCACTGCAACCTCTTTCTCCCGGGTTCAAGTGATTCTCCTGCCTCAGCCTCCTGAGTAGCTGGGATTACAGGCACCCACCACCACACCCGGCTAATTTTTGTATATTTAGTAGAGACGGGGTTTCACCATGTTGACCAGGCTGGTCTTGAACTTCTGACCTCAGGTGATCCACCCACCTCAGCCTCCCAAAGTGCTGGAATTACAGGCGTCAGCCAGCACGCCCGGCTTTCTTTCTTTCTTTTTTCTTTTTTTTGAGACGGAGTCTCATTCTTGTTGCCAGGCTGGAGTGCAATGGTGCGATCTTGGCTCACTGCAACCTCCACCTCCAGGGTTCAAGCGATTCTCCTGCCTCAGCCTCCCGAGTAGCTGGGACTACAGGCGCCTGCCACCACTCCCAGCTAATTTTGTATTTTTAGTAGAGACAAGATTTCTCCATGTTGGTAAGGCTGGTCTCGAACTTCCAACCTCAGGTGATCTGCCTGCCTTAGCCTCCCACAGTGCTGGGATTACAGGTGTGAGCCACTGCGCCCGGCAGTCATTTGCTAATTTTCTAAATGATTATCACTAAATTTTTTTTTTTTTTGGTAGAGACAGAGTCTCATTTTGTTGCTCAGGCTGCTTTTGAATTCCTGGCCTCAAGCAGTCCTCCTGCCTCAGCCTCCCAAAGTGCTGAGATTACGGGCATGAACCACCATGCCTGGCCACTAATGGTTTTCACATCTTCGATTATCCTGCCAATAGAATTTTCACACAATTAAATGTATCAATATATATCAGTTTCATATTTTTCTTTTCTGGAAGGCCTTTCTGGAAGGCCTTCCAGACTCCCTGTCCAGTATGGGCTGGTTGCTCTGTAAGCCTACTGTATAGCTATTACCTTCACCTCTCTCCTGTGCTGGGTTGTATTTCCTGAATCTCATGTTTTTCTTTGTTTGCTTCCTTGTTGTTTTTTGTTTTGTTTTGTTTTTTGTTTTTTTGACACAGAATCACACTTTGTCACCCAGGCTGGAGTACAGTGGTGCAATTTCAGCTCACTGCCACCTCTGCCTCCCGGGTTCAGGTGATTCTCCTGCCTCAGCCTCCCAAGTAGCTGGGATTGCAGGCACCCGCCACCAACTATGCCTGGCTAATTTTTGTATTTTTGGTAGGGACAGGGTTTTTATTTTTTTTTTCTTTTTCTTTTCTTTTCTTTTTTTTTTTTTTTTTTGAAACGGGGTCTCGCTCTGTCACCCAGGCTGGAGTACAGTGGCACAATCTTGGCTCACTGCAACCTCTGCCTCCTGGGTTCAAGAGGTTCTCCTGCCTCAGCCTCCCAAGTAGTAGCTGGGATTACAGGCACCTGCCACCACGCCTGGCTAATTTTTTGTATTTTTAGTAGAGACAGGGTTTCACTATGTTGGCCAGGCTGGTCTTGAACTCCTGACCTCATGATCCGCCCGCCTCGGCCTCCCAAAGTACTGGGATTATAGGTGTGAGCCACCACGCCTGGCCTGCTTCCTTGTTTTGTTGGAGCATATCCTCCGGTAGTTTCTTGAGAAAAAGTACATGGGATGAAGCCATTTTGATACCCTGCATGCCCCAAGATATCTTTATTCTACTTATTTGAAAAATGTGGCTGGCTGTATACTTCTACATAGATTATCATTTACCCTCAGAATTTTGAAGGCATGGCTTTATTGTTTTTTTGTGTTTTTGAATATTTTTTCCTGAGGGTCTCACTCTGTTGCTCAAGCAATCCTCGCGCCTCAACCTCAGGCACATGCCACCATGCCTGGCTAAACTTAATTTTATAATTTTTTTGTAGAGATAGGATCTCACTGTATTGCCCAGGCTGGTCACAAACTCCTAGGCTCAAGTGATCCTCCTGGCTCGGCTTCCCAAAGTGCTGGAATTACAGGTGTGAGCCACTGCACCTAGCTGCTTTATTGTTTTTAAGCCTCCAATTTGAGGTTGCGAAGTGTGATGTCACTATGACATACAAAGGTGTGTCATTATTCCCACACCTTTGTATGTGATCATAGTGATCAGAAGCATGAGTTCTGGAGTCAGACTGCCTACAAGACTGACTATGCAACCTTGGACAAATTTCTTATTCTCCCTATACCTCAGCTTCCTCATATGCAAATCGGGGTTGTTAGAAGATTGGGTTAATACATATAAAGCACTTACTTCCTGCACAGAGTATGTGCTGTATAAACATTTGCTATCATTATTATTAGGATCTCTTCTTCATACCTGGCATTTTGAAATTTAATAAAATTATCATGGGTCTTTTAAAATGTACTATGCTAGGAATTCAAGAGGTATGTGGTTTACGACTTTTAAGTTCTAGAAAACTTTGATAATATTTTTTCTTCCATCTGCTTTACTGCCTTATTCTAGAACTCCACTTAGATGTTGAACCTCCTGCCTCATTTGATCTTCATAGATTTTCTTTTATTATGCATCTTTTTGGGCTACTTTTTGTTTTTAATTTTACTTCAAGTTCTGGGATACATGTGCAGAACATACAGGCGTGTTACATAGGTATACATGTGCCATGGTGGTTTGCTGCGCCTATCAACCCGTCATCTAGGTTTTAAGCCCCGCATGCATTACCTATTTGTCCTAATGTTCTCCCTCCCCTTGCCCCCAACCCCCTAGTAGGTCCCGGTGTGTGATGTTCCCCTCCCTGTGTCCGTGTGTTCTCATTTGTTCAACTCCCACTTATGAGTGAGAATTTGTGTTTTTTGGTCTTCTGTTCCTGTGTTAGTTTGCTAAGAATGATGGCTTCCAGCTTCATCTATATCCCTGCGAAGGACATGAACTCATTCCTTGTTATGGCTACATGGTCTACTTTCTTATTTATTTATTTATTTATTTATTTATTTATTTTTGAGATAGAGTCTTGCTCTGTCACCCAGGCTGGAGTGCAGTGGCGTGGTCTTGGGTCACTGCCAGCTCTGCCTCCCAGGTTCACACCATTCTCCTGCCTCAGCCTCCCAAGTAGCTGGGACTACAAGCACCTGCCACCACGCCCGGCTAATTTTTTGTATTTTTAGTAGGGGTTTCACCGTGGTAGCCAGGATGGTCTCTATCTCCTGACCTCGTGATCCACCCGCCTTGGCCTCCCAAAGTGCTGGGATTACAGGCATGAGTCACCGCGCCCGGCTTATTTATTTTTTGAGACAGGGTCTCACTGTGTCACCCAGGCTGGACTGCAGTGGTGCAATCTCAGCTCACTGCAGCCTCCACCTCCCAGGCTCAAGCGATCCTCCCACCCTAGCCTCCAGAGAAGCTGGGACTACAAATGCACACCACCATGCCCTGCTAATTTTTTTTTTTTTTTTTTTTTTTTTTTTTTTTGCAGTGGCCGGATCTCAGCTCATTGCAAGCTCCGCCTCCCGGGTTTTTACGCCATTCTCCTGCCTCAGCCTCCCGAGTAGCTGGGACTACAGGCGCCCACCACCTCGCCCGGCTAGTTTTTTGTATTTTTTAGTAGAGACGGGGTTTCACCTTGTTAGCCAGGATGGTCTTGAACTCCTGACCTCGTGATCCGCCCGTCTCGGCCTCCCAAAGTGCTGGGATTACAGGCTTGAGCCACCGCGCCGCCGCCCTGCTAATTTTTGTATTTTTTGTAGAGACAGGTTTTTGCTCTGTTGCCCAGGTTGGTATTGAACTCATGGGCTCAAGCCCGCCTTGGCCTCCCAAAGTGCAAGTTATTACAGGTGTGAGTTACTGCGCCTGACCTTTTGGGGCTACTTGCTGATGAATTTCTGCAACTTTATGCCTCCTATTAGAAATTTTTTTTTTTTTTTTTTTTTTTGAGACAGAGTTTTGCTCTTGTCGTCCAGGCTGAAGTGCAATGGCGTGATCTCAGCCCACTGTATCCTCTGCCTCCTGGGTTCAAGTGATTCTCCTGCCTCAGCCTCCCAAGTAGCTGGGATTACAGGCACGCGCCACCAAGCCCAGCTAATTTTTATATTTTTAGTAAAGGTGGGGTTTCACCATGTCGGCCAGGCTGGTCTCGAACTCCTGACCTCTGGTGATCCGCCCACCTTTTGGCCTCCCAAAATGCTGGGATTACAGGCATGAGCCACCACTCCCAGCCCCCTACTAAAAATTTTCAAGTTTTAGCTTTATCTTTATATTCTAAGTGGCTGGTTCTCTTAATTATTGCTTTGTGGATTTTTTAAAATTCTTTTTTCCTATTTCCTGTATTGTCCCTCTGAGTTTCCTTTTTCTGTTTAAGTTAGAGGCTCTCCTCACATGCCTGGTGATCCTTGACTGCTCATATTTAAGAATGAAGCATTAAAAAGCTTAACATTAGCTGGGCGTGGTGGCTCACACCTGTAATCCCAGCACTTCGGGAGGCTGAGGTGGGTAGATTGAGGTTAGGAGTTCCAGACCAGCCTAGCCAAATGGTGAAACCACATCTTTCCTAAGAACACAAAATTCACCGGGTGTGGTGGCGCACACTTGTAATCTCAGCTACTTGGGAGGCTGAGGCAGGAGAATCACTTGAACCCGGGAGGCAGAGGTTGCAGTGAGCCGAGATCGCACCACTGCACTCCAGCCTTGGCAACAGAGTGACTCTGGGGAGAAAAAAAAAAAAAAAAACAAAAAAAACCCAGCTTAACATCATTCAATAAAGGCTTTCACCTAGGAGGCCTTGTGGTACAGTGATTTTGGGCTTTTTAAATTTTTTTGAGACAGGGTTTCACTCCCGTTGCCCAGGCTGGACTGCAGTGTTTGCGCACTGCAACCTCTGCCTTGTGGGTTCAAGGTTCTCCCACTTCAGCCTCCCGAGTAGCTGGGACTACAGGGGCACGCTATCACGCTTGGGTATTTTTGTATTTTTTTTGTTTTAGTAGAGACAGAGTTTTGCCATATTGGCCAGGCTGAACTTGAACCCCTGAGCTCAAGAGATCTGCCCACCTTGGCCTCCCAAAGTGCTGGGATTATAGGTGTGAGCCACTGGGCTTGGCCTGGCCAGTGTTTTTAGTAGCTAGTTGAGGAAGCGGGCTGGGCAGTCTCATTTTAGATTTTTATTCTCTTTTCAGTTAGGCTCCCTATCCTCTGCTGTGTGTGGTGCTCCCAACTTTACCTGCGTAGGTGAGGGGCAGTCACCTGGCTGTGTGAAATAAGAGTGTGGAGAACACTAGAGATCTAATTACCGTGTATAAACTCTCAACCAGTATGTTTTTATCCCCAGCCCTTACCCCATCTTCTGAGCAATATTCTTGCTTCTTGTTTTCCCCTACTGTGAAGGATTCCTCTAAGTCAGTTACCCCTCTTCCACCTCCTTTCCATCTTTCAAGAATTGTTGACACCTTCCTTTTGCTATTTCCTGCCCCATCCTCTAACCCTTGGGGTGTATGCCTGCTTTGAGTCCTTTTCTGTCATCTCAGGGGGAAGGTACAACCCTAAATCTGGGTGTTAAATCCCCCAATTCACCAGGATCAGGGAAAACACTCACTCTGCTATGCCAGACTCAATGTATCGTTTTATGACTGTATTGAATTTCAAACAACCAAACATTAGCCAGAAGAGTTTTTCAAGGTCTCTTTTATTTATTTAGCAAGAAATTACTCTTTATTGATCAAATCACCAGGAATTTGCAGCAAAAGACTTAACATCTTAATGACCACCAAGGCCTGGGCTCTGAGGCTTGCTCTGCCTCTCCCAGTCCTTAATGGAGTTTAGAGGGAGAGACGTCATTAACAGAGACCAAGTCAGATGGTTGCAGGTCCTCCTTTCCCAGTCATCAGACAAGCTGCTCAATTCTTGTCCAGAGCAGGAAAGAGCCAGTACTTCAGTAACATTGAATAAAGAATTTGATGTTGCATTATACGATCTCTCTTGACAATTCAGTTATCAACAATATTGCTCCAAAACTCATTTGCTTCTGATCTAAATTTTTTTCATTTTGCAATTTACTTTGTGTGTTATTTTAATAATCTCACTCCCTGTGCAGAAACTAATCAACCCAGTGCAAAGAAAAATCCCTCAACCTCGAATAGCCTCATCTTACTTTGGAAAGAGAAAACAGAGGTATTTTTGCTCCTCTTCTACCCAAGTGATGAACAAACATCCCCCCAAAGTTCAAAATGTTACTCTGGCCTCAGAATGTACATAAAGGCTGCTTTTGATGGGCTGATTCCAATCACCTAGAAAGGGCAGCCAGAACCACTATGCAGGCAGCCTTCTTTGGAAATTTCTTAAAATCAACTCTTGAGAACCATCCGTGATTGTGGACAATGGCTCTAAAGTCCAAACAACTTCTGTTCTTTCATCTCACGAGCTAGGCTCAGAGGAGGCATTTGAACTGTCAGGAGCAAGAGCAGCAGCTGTGGCCCCACGAGGTAGGACTTCAATAACTCGCGGCTTGTCAATGATCCGGGCCGTTCGGTTTCCCTTTTCCACAATGCCAACGATCCACGCTTGGTGACCCTCTCCGTACTTGGAGGATTTGATTTCGGAACAAAAGCGAGCCGCCTGTTCTCTTGGCAGACAAATCAGTAATCCCCCAGAGGTTTCAGCTGAGGTTCCTTGAAGAAGCCCAAACCGTCCACTGGCCTTGCTGACGGCAGCCATCTTGGCAATTATCGGCAGATTATGAATAACAAAGGACACTTCATTTCTTTGTTGTTTTGCAAGGTTCTGGGAGTGTCCCAGAATGCCAAAGCCTGTGATATCTGTGGCCGCATGGGCATTAAATGTGTGCATTAAACCTGCAGCAGTTCTGTTGAGGGTAGCCATATTGAACATGGCTTCCTGATAGGCCAGCTCCACCTCTTCTCTGGAGACCACCATCTTTACTTTATTCCATCTTTCAGGATTATCCAGCCATTGGTGGGCATTGACAGCAACCTGGGTTCCTAATGGTTTGGTTAACACCAGCACGTCCCCAACGACGGCACTGTCCGGCATTATGAACTCATTTGGCTGGCATACCACAGTGGCAACTCCACCGATTATAATCCAAGGGTTGACTACCGTCTGCCCACCGGTCACTGCCGTCCCTCCTTCCTCCGCGGCATCCCGAAAGCCTTTGACCATGAGTGGCGTTACCTTTTCGCGTTCCTCCTCGCTCATACTCTGGCTGACGCTGAGTAACATCAACATGTTGTCACACTCAGTAATCCCCATGGCGTAGAGGTCACTCAGCACGTTGGCACAAGCTATGCGCCCCATCATGTAGGGATCTTCCACCAAGGGGTAAAAGAAGTCCGTGGTCTGCACCAGTGACAGGCCCCCGTGCCTCAGGGGGATGACGCAAGAGTCCATCCCGATGCCCAGGGCTGGAAAGGTGGGGCTGGAGCCCGCTCCTGTTGGCATGCCGGCTTCCTGGGACGCCTCTTCCTGGCCGCCCACCAGGCCCCGGCCCAGCTGGGGCCGCACGTCCGGCCGCGTCAGTCCCGCCAGGAGTTTGAGCAGCGTCTCCTGCGGGACCTTGCAGCCTCAGCCCTTCATGCCGGAGAAGCCCGTCAGCCGCCAGCTCGGGCTGAGGCCCAACGCCTGGGGCTCGAAGGGCCGGTAGTTCGAGAAGCTCCGGCCCACAGTCAAGCCCGCCGGGCCCGAGGAGCCTTCCGCTGCTGCCACTGCCGCCATCGCCTCTCCGCAGGCGCCCGTCGCCGAGGCTTCCGCCATCGCGCCTGCCCGGCAGGGAAGGGAGGGGAGAAGAGGGCCCTTTTATTTTCCACTCAGGTTAATATGAAGTAAAAGTCAAATATTACCTGCAGGGATTCTACCCAGGGCGACTCACACCGCGAGCCCCACGGCAGGCGCAATCTTCCTGAAAGAGGAGCCGCCGGACTCCCTTATTTATACCCCAGGTGATTGACAGCTGCAACATCCAATGACGACTCCGCCACCGAGAGGCGGGCTTCCTAGACTCTAAAAGGCGCAACAACCTCAGGCTTGCAAAACCCATCGCAAAGGGATTGCAGAACGTCACGTGTTTTCCTTCGCTCTCGTAGTAATGTAAATGGTTTCTTGGCAGCGGCTGACGGAACATTGCTCCTTTCGAGTAACTTCCAAGTCCAACAAATTGTAGACGAGGGAAGATTGGTCACTCGACAAACCTCATGATCGGCAGGATTCAAGGGTCACTTGACAGCGCACATGATCGATCCAGGGTAGCAACATAGCCCAAGGGGAAAAACAGAAAGCTTGAGAAATTAGAAATTAAACTACTACCATTAAGTAAGCAAACTGCAGGCAGCATCAGTATAATGAAATGTTAACATGAACTTCAAGAACTCTAGGACTCAGGAGGTCGAGGCTGCAGGGAGCTGTGACTGCGCCACTGCACTCCAGTCTGGGCGACACAGCGAGAAACTGACTCTAAAAAAGCAAACAACAATAACAAACAAACAAACAGCCCCCGACAAAAAAAAAAGAGAGAGAGAGAGAGAGATTTAGAACTGAAAGTCCAGACACCTGCATGGATTCTAATGGTGCTTCCCACCAGCTGTGTGTGGAGTCACTTTCAGCATCGGTTGACTCATCCATCTGTGGAACAGAGTAGGTTACACAGGACTGGTCTATTCTAAAATTTCTATATCGCTGTAAATATATATAGCCATGAAGGGCAGTTTGCCAATATCTATTAAAAACTCCACCTCCTGGGTTCAAGTGATTCTCCTGTTTCAGCCTCCTGAATAGCTGGAATTACAGGTATGCACCACCACACTCGGCTAATTACTGCATTTTTAGTAGAGACGGCGTTTCACCATGTTGACCAGGCTGGTCTCAAACTGCTGACCTCAGGTGATCTGCTGGCCTCAGCCTCCCAAAGTGCTGGGATTACAGGCATGAGCCACCACTCCCAGCCAATAAAAACTTTTTAAAAGACAAGAGAATAGAAAACTTAGCATAGGGGCTATTTCTAGGGAGGGCTACATAGGGAGCTTCTGGGCTATGTTTAATTCTGTTCCTTGGGCTGGTGGTGGGTACACGGTACATGGTTGTTCTTTTTTTTTTTTTTTTTTTTTGAGATGAGTCCTCCACCTCTGTCACCCAGGCTGGAGTTGCAGTGGTGTGATCTCGACTCACTGCAACCTCCGCCTCCCGGGTCACGCCATTCCCTGCCTCAGCCTCCCTCTAGCTGGACGCCAGGCGCCACACCACCGCGACCGGCTAATTTTTGTATTTTCTAGTAAGAAGACTGGCGTTTCCACAGTGTTATGCCAGGATGGTCTCGACTCGCTGACCTTGTGGATCACCCATCTCGGCCTCCCAGAATGCTGGGTTAATTACAGGCTGAGCCACCCCCCGGCCCATGTGTTCCTTTAAACTGTACCATAGAATTGTCCCACTTCATTTTTTGTAAGTATGCTAGATTCAAATTCAACAAAACAACAAAAAGAAAATAGATGGGAGTGGGAAAATAAGAGTCGAAAGCAAACAAGACCCTGGTGGTAAATGTCTGCATGTGTCAGACCTGGCTGACCTTGAGGAAGTGATCGAAGCCTCTCTGCAACTTTTTAGTCCTCCTCTTCTGGTTTAAACCAGGGTCACAAATCTCTGCTAGTCGGAAGGGGGCCACAGAAAACCTTCAGCGAGAAGTGTTTTGGCAAAAGTCAGCCCTATTGGTACACGGCAAAGGATCCTCATATCTCTAAGGGAAAAGAGTAAAACATTGATTCACGTCTGTAAATCACTCAACCTGAGTTAAAAACGGACCTAAGGTCCAGGAGCTGCTGGTTTTACATTCTCCTTATTCTTTGACTTCTCTCCCTCTCCAACACTTAGCACAAATTTTTGTAAATTCTTTTTTTTTTGTTGAAACGGGAGTCCTCAAAACACTGTCACCAGGCTTGGAATGCAGTGGTCGCCGATCTCCGGCTAACTGCAACCTCCCACCCCCGGCACCATTATATCAGCATTTTCATCCTTATATTATTTCACCCTCCAAGTAGCTGAGTACAGCACCCCACCAGAAACCACGAATGTTAAAAAGATACTGGGGTCTGCAACCCCGTGTTTGGCCAGGATGGTTCTTGACTCTTCACCTCGTGATCGCCCGTCTGCTCCAAAAATAGCTGGTTACGAGCATCCACCGCGACCGGCCCTGTAAATTTCTATCATGTAATGGCATGCCGAATCTGTCTGGCCCCCCCTTGTTTGTAAGTTCTGCAGAAGGCCAGGGGCTCTCTGTTGTTTTGTTCTTTTTTGTTTTGTTTTGGACAGTTTTGCTCTTGTCACTTGCAGGCTGGAGTGCACGTGGCTAAATCCTCAGGTCCTGCAACCTCTGCTCCCCAGTTCAAGCCGATTCATCCTGTCAGCTTCCTGAGTAGCTGGATTAAGGCCACTGACACCATGCCTGGCTGATTTTTGTATGTTGTAAAGACGATGGGTCCTGGCCAGCGCTCGCGTCCTTGAAACTCCTGACTCCAGGAGATCTACTGATCCCAGTCGCCAAACAGTGTGGCGCGTTACCAGCATGAGACTGGCGTCAGCCTGACGGGGCTCCTTGGATACAAATACTCCATAACCGCTCTAACTCCATGCCGCTTCTACAGGAAGCAGAGGTCCTTGGGGAACGGTTTTCATCCATTACAGTCTCCCTGCTTGCGCTTCTAAAACTTGGAATCAAAATAATTACAACTTGGCCGAGCAAAGAAAGTCAACAAATCTGCCCTTGGCCAGTCACCAACCTGCTGTGCTCCAGAAATGACAACATGCAGTGCCACTGTGCAGGTGAACGCGCATAGGGGGCCTCTCCAGGGTGACCGTGAAGGCTGGCAGTTATCAAGCACCTGGAAGCTTCCTTTGTTCTTTTTCCATCACTGGAGAAAAGGTCCATTTGAAAGCTATGTTTACTAGTTGTGACTGGGTGCCAGTGGCTCCATGGCCTGTAATAGCAAGTAACCTTGGAGGCCCAACGTGAGCAAAGAATCACCTGAGGACCATCAGAGTTCGAGAACCAGCCTAAACCAATATTGGCGACAAACCCTAAAAATCGTCCTACTAAAAAAATACCACGAAAACTAGCCCGGGGGCATGGTGGTGCATGCCGTATTTCAGCTCCTCAGGAGGCTGAGGCGGGGAGTACTTGAAGCCGGGAGGGAAGGTCGCAGTGAGCCGCAAGATTTGCACCAACTGTACTCCCCCAAAGCCTGGGTGACAGAGGAGAAAGCTCCATCTCAAACAAAAAAAAAAAAAAAGCGCGAAACCAAGAAAGGACCCTCCGATTCGGAGCCCTGGGATGTTCAACGGTGAGCAGTGAACTATGATGGCACCAACTGCCACTTCCAGGCTGGAAACGAAAGAATATCACAGGTTTGGAGTCCGCCAAGTCACTGGTTTGCTTTCCACCAACCACCAACCAAAAGCATTTGGGTCAGGCAATGTGGCCCAATTATGATTAAATCAACTTGGG